GCAAGACTGGCAGGACAGCCCGCTCCAGAGCCTTGCCAGAGCAGACACCAGGCCAGAAGCCCCCAGGACCCGGCCCCCGGCTCACTCACCTTCCACGGAGACTTCTCGGCGCCGCACCAGGTCCGTTTTATTGCCCACCAGGATGATGGGGATGTTCTCGGCCTGCCGGGTGCGGCGCAGCTGGATCCGCAGCTCGGAGGCGCTCTCGAAGCTGCCCCGGTCCGTGACGGAGTAGACGATGATGTAGGCATTCCCCACCTGCAGGCAGCAGTTGTGGGACCGGTTCTCCTCGTCCTGGGCCTGCGCAGGGGAAGGGGAAGGGGAAGGGGAAGGGGGACGTCACCGCGGGCTGAGGCAAGTTGGCTGGTCTCCCACCCACCCCCTGCTCAGGCAGGTCCCCCATGCAAAGCGTGGACATGCAAGATGGGGATGGAGACACATCCCCCAGATTTTATTGTACAGGGGCTGTACCATGCAGCCTCCCTCCCTGCCAGGCTGGACTTGCACCCGCATGGCCTTGTCTGTGCATGGCGTGCCCTGCTCTGGGCAAGCCCCACGACTGCTGGGGGGAGTCTGGTGGGGGCAGGGGCTGTTTGACACTATCTCCTCTGCAACGCACCAGCTGCGAGTTATGGCCCTGGGCTGGGATGAGCCCCCCGCAGCCGCCCATGCATCCCGGGTGCCAGGACTGGGCTCCTGGACCAGAGCAAGCTGCCACGGGGTGATAGGACCCACGAGCTGCTCACTGCCCTGGGTATCAGCAGAGCTCATGGCTGCAGGAGCACCTGGCAGGCAGGGGAAGACCTCGCCCGCACCCCAGCTCAGGAGCCGAGCGCCTGGGGGAACCGGTGCCGAGGTCCCGCGGAGCCAGACGCGCCTTCCCACCCCTCTGGGCCCCATCCAGCCCCTACCCGTGGTGCTGGCTCCCAGGTGTCCATCACCAGCAGCGTGGTCTCCTCATCATCCACGGACAGGGTGCGCTCGTACGTGTCCTCTGCAACGAGCCAGCCAGCGGGTCAGTGCCCTGCACCGGGACAGGGGCCTGGCTGCAAAGACCTGATGCCCTGAGCGCCGCGACCCCCCGGCACAGCTGGCAGCTCCCTCCCTGCCAGGTCATCCTGGGTCTGGGGGCCGGGAGGCTGCAGCTGGGTGGGGTGCAGCCTCCCCCCACAACCG